CACAAGGAGTGACCATCACTCAAAAAATTATGATTTTGTCATTTGGGAGTTGTAGTTGCTGGGATTTATAGTTCACCTACAATCAAAGAGCATTCTGAACTCCACCAATGATGGAATTGAACCAAACTTGGCACACAGGACTCCCTGACCAACAGAAAACACTAGAAGGGTTTGGTGGGTATTGACCTTGAGTTTTGGAGTTGTAGTTAACCTACATCTAGAGAACACTGTGGACTCAAACAATGATGGATCTGGACCAAACTTGGCACAAATACTCAATATGCCCAAAATGTGAAAACTGGTGGAGTTTGGGGGAAATAGACCTTGACATTTGGGAGTTGTAGTTACTGGGATTTATAGTTCATCTACAATCAAGGAGCATTCTGAACCCCACCAACGACAGAACTGGGCCAAACATCCCACACAGAACCCTCATGACCAACAGAAAATATTGTGTTTTCTGGTGATCTTTGGTGACCCTTCTGACACCCCCCCTGGTGACCGCCCCCCTCGGGGTCTTGACTTCCCAGGTTGAGAAATGCTGCCTTAAGGCCATCCAGTCCAACTCCCTTCACCAGGGCAAGAAAACATAATCAAAGCCCTCCTGACAAAGGACCATCCAGCCATTCACACACACACATATGTATATGACAGATGTAGTATCAAAGATTTGAAAGGGACCCCTAAAGAAGGGCAATGATATGTTGCATGTTCCAGAGTAGGCAAATCAGACAATCTCCACATCAACACTGGCAAAGAAACAACAAGAAATACCATTTACCTACAAGCATAAAAACATTACATATATTAGAAACCAACACTTCTCATTACTTTATTTTCCAGATTACCAGTCTGGGCCACAGCAACACGTGGCAGGGGACCACTACTTACCTATAAAGCTCTAAATGGTTTAGGACCCGCTTACCTGCGTGACTGCATCCTCCCCTACGAGCCCACATCGTCCCTAAGATCTTCCGGGGATGCTCTTCTCTCGCTCCCGCCCCTGTCTCAGGCGCAGTCGGTGGGGACGAGAGAGAGGGCATTCTCGGTGGTGGCCCCTCGTCTCTGGAACTCCCTCCGCAGGGAGATTAGGCTGGCGCCCTCCCTATCCACATACCGCAAGGAATTAAAAACGTGGATGTTTCTTAGTGCATTTGATTGAGTGATGATCTGAACCCATCCTTGGAATTCCTATATCACAGTGTTTCTCAACCTTTCTAATGCCGCGACCCCTTAGTACAGTTCCTCATGTTGTGGTGACCCCCAACCATAACATTATTTTAATTGCTACTTCATAACTGTAATTTTGCTACTGTTGTGAATCATAATGTAAATATCTGATATGCAGGATGTATTTTCAAATCCCAATATGTCCAAATTTGTACTTTTAATTGTACTTTGCCAGGGCTTGGCCCCATGTAAGCCGCCACGAGTCACTTTGGGGAGATGGAGGCGGGGTAGAAAAATAAAGTTCTTCTTCTTCTTCTGGGCATCTGGGTATAAGTCTGCAATGACTATATTGGCAGATGGAGAAGTCATAATCTCAAAAGAGTTTTCTAAATTAACCATACCAAAGTCCTTTGTATGTCCTCCTTCAATAGCATTCCAGAAGTCCCAAGACCTGGGCAAACTTCAGCATGTATAAGAGCTTCCGCATGTGCCAATTTCCACATGTCTTAAAACAGGGGTGGGGAACACGTGGCACTCTTCCTGTTGTTGGACTATAGCTTCTGTTTTACTCACAACATCTGGGATAATAACACCTTGCTCACTTCCATCCTGAATGGAAGAGCACACCTTCTTTCTTGCACAGAGCTCCTGGTGCAAAAGGGATGTTCCTTGTAGATTTCAGAGCATCTGTCATAGGTAGGATGGATGGTTTTCAAATGTTAATTTTGAACGAAACCTACAGGAATCAGTAGAATTGTTCTTTTATGTTTGGTGGGAAGAATCCAACATAACATCGACCTGATTGTGTATTCATGTGTAGCAGGAGGCTGGACTGGCTGGCACTTGTGGTCATTTCCAACTCTAGAAGACCCCGGAGGCACAGTGGGTTAACCATTGTACCGGCAGGATTGCTGACCAAAAGATAGGCGGTTCGAATCTGGGTAGTGGGGTGAGCTCCCATATGTCAGCTCCAGCTTCCCATGCTGGAACTGATAGACAAGAAGCCTCCCATGGGTAACACATCCGGGCACCCCTTGGGCAATGACGTCGCAGACAGCCAATTCTCTCACAGCAGAAGCGACTTGCAGTTTCTCAAGCCGTTCCTGACACACACAAAAATTCAAACTCTGTGATTGTATTATTAATTTGGTATGAAAATAGAGTTGATTACATTAACTCTGAATGGTAGGTGCATCCTTAGTTTCTAAAGGATATATCTACACTTTAGAGTGAATGTAGTTTGATATCGCTTTAACTGCCATGGTTCAATGCTATGAAATCATAAGAGCTATAGTTTTACAAGGGGTGTAGCTTTCTCTGCCAAAGAATGTGAGTGCCTCACCAGCCATGGCAGTTAAAGTGGTGGCAAACTGTATTGATTGTAATGTAGTTGCATCCTTGTCTTATTTTATCTATTCCCAACTCCAAGCTAACTTTTTCAAGACAGATACATGGACTTAATTAGTTTTCTATAACTAGTTTTCTATTTCTATAATTAGTTTTCTATAATGACAGGTCAATATAAGGTACTAGAATCCCAATCTAGAGAAACAAGATACAGGAAAGGTATCAAACTGTATAGGAAGAGATAAAACTCTTTATCATTTTTCTTCCCTTGCAAAAATTAGTGATAGGTTGCTCTGTACAATACAAATCTTTCCATTTTTCTTACTCCTCTTTGGTACCTAAGTGGGAGTCTTAAGTGAGGAAAGGGCTGAAACTTCTAGATGGTTTTAGGTTCTTGCATGGACTATGACTCCAGAATCCCTTGAGCAAAACACACACTCTCATGCTCAGAGGAAAGCAGAGACAAACCCCTCCAAACAAATCCTGCCAAGAAAATCCCGTGATAGATCCACCTTAGACTCACTATAAGTCAGAAACAACTCGAAGGCACAAAACAACAGCTTAAGGCAATGATAAAGGGTCAATACAGGCATCTTTTTCAAAGGATGGGCAACATACAGGTCGCTGACAACAGAACTCTTTGGATACAGAATTTAGTTGACCAGCTAGACCCTTCAATTGTCAAGTCACCAGTTGACAGTTTCTGGTACTTTCCCCTTGCCATTTTCAGTTATATTGAAACCATACATGATACATATCATTGCAGAATCACATGCTACCATCAAATGTATAAAGATAGATCTTCTCAATATGCCTTAATACAATTAGAACAGGGGAAAAGTGAATCTACATTTGACATGGAAAGAATTCCTTCTGGTATCATAAATAAAAATTATTTTTCCCTATGACTTTTTAAAATATGGGTAGGATGAAAAGGGGCAATGTTTTTATTATCACCATATTAGTAAAGTGCTAATAGAAGGCACCGGTGGCGCAGTGGGTTAAACTCTTGTGCCAGCAGGACTGCTGACCTGAAACGTCGCAGTTTGAATCCGGAGAGCGGAGTGAGTTTCCATCTATCAGCTCCAGCTTCTCATGCGGGGGCATGAGAGAAGCCACCCATAGGATGGCAAAACACCTGGGCATCCCCTAGGCAACGTCTTTGCAGATGGGCAATTCTCTCATGCCAGAAGCAACTTGCAGTTTTTCAAGTCGCTCCTCTCTCTCTCACACACACACACACAAAGTAAAATGCTGTGAAATCATTAAAACTCTTAATTCCAGGCTTGGTTCAATCGTGGGATGGTTTTTGCAAGATATCTCTTTTCATTATCTTCCTTGTGACATGCAAATTCTTGCTATAACACATTAAAGCACGCTTACAAGCACTGCAAAACTGAGTATCGTATGAGTACAGAGCTTTGTATTCTGAGATGTTAATCTATATAAATAAAAATGTAATGTTTGTTTGTGGGATTAACATAACTCAAAAACCACTGGACGAATTGACACAAAATTTGGACACTACATCCGTAACAGACCAACGAATGACTATCACTCATAAATCCCTCCCAAAAAACAGCAAAAAGGACTTAAAATCTGAAAAAGCTACATGAGGATACAGCGCATATGCCAAACAGACAGCTCCCAGCATCCCCTAGACCAGGCCCATTAGGGGAGGAGGATGCTCCAAATGCACTGCTTCCAAGCTGCAAGCTTGCTTCTCCTTTGATTTCTTTGAGAGCATCCTAATCCGTACATATTTCCCATTTCCTATTCCTAGACTGCAATTCCCAGCAATCCTCCAGATAGATAGATTAGATAGAGATGGATAGTAGGTAGATAGATCAATCAGGAGGACTGCTGGGAGTTGCAGTTCAAGAATAGGTAGAGAAGGAAGAAAGGAGAGAAAACAAAAGGGGAAGGAAAAAGGGCAGAGAAGGAAAGAAGGAAGGAGAGAAGGAAAGAAAGAAAAAGGGGAGGAAGGAAAAAGGGTAGAGAAGGAGAGAAGGAAGGATAGAAGGAAAGAAAGGAAAAGGGTAGAGAAGGAAAGAAGAAAGGAGAGAAGGAAAGAAAAAAGGGAAGGAAGGAAAGGCAGGGAAGGAAGAAAGGAGAGAAAAAAAGAAAGAGAGAAAGAGGGAGGGAAGGTTGGCCACAGCAACGCGTGGCGGGTACAGCTAGTACTTAATAATCTTAATTCACTTGTTATAATTGGCTTTCTTTTGCTAATGGTTACCACTGCAAGTCTGCTATGGTTAGCAGATCTACAATGTACTGGAAACGTATAATTTAAAACGGCACATTTCAAAATCAGTAACAAATGTCTATAAGTATGATGAATAGGCACTCATTCGGTTGATGGCATGGTCAGTATGTTCTAAAATAACTAGGACTCGATCAGTTACCGCACTTTAAAAAAACTTTCTGGTGATACATGAGGTTATCAAACTTTTGTTCCTACTTGCAAAAGAGAGATTACTTACTGTAGTTGCTGTTCTGCTCGTGTATTCCTTTGATTTTGCCCCTCTTATCGATCTTGATGTACCACTGAGTTCCAGAGAACAGTCTTCTCACGCGTACGTTCCCCCCTTCCATATAATCGTAGCTTCTGGTATGTCGCTCAGGGGAGGAACAGTTCACATTTGTAGCCATTTGCTCTGGGTTCATGTCATTGCAAGCTAATGATATAGCGCCCATGAGGAAGATAGCGTAAAAGTATGATTTGTAGAGCAAAGTTGGCAGGATCCATGTCAATATCCATTTGTGCATTATAGTGCAGTGATCGGGGTGCTCATGAACAACATAATGAAAAAAGAATCCGTCTCCGGTGGTTCCGTTGACTTGTCTTCTGCCTTTCTGTTACGTTGTAAAGAGATTTAACCAGCAACCGCTTGCAGAATTCCAGTCCTCCCGACTTCTTTCGAAAGCATAGGTACCAAAGACAATCGGCCTTCCAAATATATATATCTATATCCAGCTGAAATATCCTTTAAGGGAACAGGTAGTAATAAGCTCAGCTGCTGTGACCTCCTTTGCTACTTGTATTCACTGCTCGTGCTGAAAGCAAAAGATCTATGAGGAAAGTGGTATGCATAAAATTTTATGGTCATTACATAAGCAAAGAAACTATCATTTATGCTGTGGGAGTAAAGCAGTAGGAAAGCAGCAACAACAACAAAAGTTTAACTCATTCTATCTTAGCGAGGCTCTTTTGGCATCAGCACAGCCTTTTAAAGGTTGATCTACAACCCTGCTTTTTCCTCTTTTGCACTAGTGCGCCTGACGATTCAACTGCATTGCCAAACTCTTCTGTAGAAAACCATATTGCACCCTCTTTCGCTTGGTTGCTTCATGATCTCTTTTAGGAGTAATTCCCCTCAATGTTGGCTCCGGCATCTTAGTTTTGCCAGGTTAATTGAACTACCCTTAGCTCTATTTTTGCTGTTCCATTGCCACTGCCTCATAAGAGACTGTCAAGAGCGCTGCTTCAGATACCATAGAGCCATGAGGTCTGAAAAGGCGGTTAACAGCTAAAAAGTCTTTTAAAGGAGTTAAAAGAAGACAAATGACTTACTTGCTCTTGTTGATAACAGCTGGACACACAAGTATTTCATTTCTGTTGTCTGCCTTTTGCAACATGAGACGCTCTACTGTAGCTACAAACTTTCCTAACTCAGAAAGACTGCGACAGAATCATAATTGTTTCCATAAATCAACATGTGCGCAAGAGGGTGTGTGCGAGCGTCTGTGCGTCCACACTTGTGTGTGTCTATGCGAGTGGATGTGTTGTGTTAAGACTTTTCAGACCCTTAAAAAAAAAAGGAAACCTTTACTGACCTCTCTTGGAAACGATTAGGACGTAACCAGTTCAGCTGTCAGTAGAATGCACGAACAAAAATAAAACTGTGCAAAGTTCTGTGGTCATCAGAGGGAGCTACAAACATGGTTGATGCCTTGAATCTCAAAAAGGACGCTTTGCTAGAAACATGGGGCCCTCTCATTTCTGGATTTGGATACTGTCCTTGCTGGGTGCTTATTTAATAAAGCTTGGTCCCTTTTTGAAAAAAAAGCAAATGCATATTAAAACCCAATTTTTAAAGCTTTGTGATTGCACCTTCAGATTAGCTTCCTGGTGGCGCAGTGGGTTAAACCACTGAGCTGCTGAACCACCATCAACTCCGCTGACCCAGCCAAATTGTCCAAATGCCCAGTAACCGTCTCCCAAAGCAGTTGCTCTATTCCGAACTCAAGAACGGAAAATGGAGTTGGAGGGCAGAAAAAGAGATTTAAAGATGGGCTCAAAGCCAACCTTAAAAACTCTGGCATAGACACTGAGAACTGGGAAGCCCTGGCCCTTGAGTGCTCTAACTGGAGGTCAGCTGTGACCAGCAGTGCTGCAGAATTTGAAGAGGCACGAATGGAGGGCGAAAGAGAGAAATGTGCCAAGAGGAAGGCACGCCAAGCCAACCCCGACTGGGACCGCCTTCCACCTGGAAACGGATGCCCTCACTGCAGGAGAGCATGCTAGGCTTGGGCAGTTTCGTTCGTTAATTTCGTAATTCGTTATTAATTCGTATTTAAATTAGTTTACGATCCAATATTGAGCCATGCAGGACTACTGTGAGGAGTAATTAAAAATCAAAACAATTTTTCCAATTTATTTCGTATTGTTTCGTAATTGTTTCGTAATTGGTTCAAAATTGTTTCGAAATTGTTTCGTAATTGTTTCGTAATTATTTCCGTATGTCTGGTGCAAGTTTTATAGTTGTTGTTTGTTTTATCAGTGATAAAAAATAAATTATCACACCAACAGTCAACAACAGAGGGAGAGGGAAGCTTCAGAAGTTCCCCCTGTCCCATTTGGAGGGTTTTTTTAGCATATTGCGCAATCGCGTCTGCCATTAACGAATCGATTCGTAATTTTACGAAATTTCATAAATTTCGAAATTTTTAAAAGGAAAATTTCGGAATTCTTTAAAAAAACAAAACGCGCAAGGGCCCCCCTAAAAACGAAACGAGTTTAGAACCAAATTTTTCCGTGGCTACCCAAGCCTAGAGCATGCGGGTCAAGAATAGGGCTCCACAGTCACCTACAGACCCACCACCAGGACACCAAACTTGGAGGACAGTCTTCCATGGACAATGAGGGATCGCCTAAGTAAGTTACCCAAAGGTTGCAGGTTCAAATCCGGGTAGCAGCGCTCCTCCTGCAGCTGGACCCATGGCCAAAGATGAAGCCCCATCTGCCTGAACTCTGGATCATTCTACAAATGGCCATTAAGTGGTTGGGTGGGTTCCAGGGTCAGTGCAGATTTGGGGTACATTTGGCAAAATGACTGTGAGGACAGTAACTGATAGCAGGAGCAAAAATGAAATACAGGGCACAAAGCAGTTCCAACATGTTCAATTAAAAAGTATTACGTATTAAGCCCCCGATGGCACAACAGGTTAAACCGCTAAACAGCTGAACTTGCTGACTGAAAAATCAGTGGTTCGAATCTGGAGAGTGGGGTGAGCTCCCGCTGTTAGCCCCAGTTTATGCCAACCTAGAAGTTCGAAAACATGCAAATGTGAGTAGATCAATAAGTACTATTCCAGTGGGAGGTAACAGTGCTCCATGCAGTCATGCCGGCCACCTGACCTTGGAAATGTCTATTGTCAACACCAGCTCTTCAGCTTAGAAATGGAGATGAGCACCACCCCCCAGAGTCGGACACGACCCTACCTTTTTACACAAGAATTACATTTGATGAGCTATTAACTGTTGTGGCTGTTAAGAGTTATTTTTCAAAGATTTTTCTTAAGTCTAATCAATCATATCACTGTCAGGAGTTCAATTAATCTGCGGTTTCTGCCTTCTGCCAGTGTCAACTCTATCAACAGCCTACTAGAGAAGCAACGCATGTAGAGCAACACACTAAAATTAGCACTTGTTCTGGCTTGGCTCAGCATCTTAGCATTACAAGAATTAAGCCCACTCCAACTGGGATTTAAATAAAAACAGAAAAAAGCTCTTGCCAATCTTCCTAAAGCTGAATCGTTACTCTTCCAAGTGTAGTGCAGGTGTTGCATTCATCTTCAGCATTATCGCTGGAATTATCAACCTCTTGTTCACGGCACATTGATGGCCTTACAAGAATAAGAATAAGACATTTGCTAGAAATTTCTTTCAGCGAACCCCCTCCCATTCCCGATATTTCCTAGGGAGCACCTTGAAATAACGAAAAAATATAGTTGTAGTTAGGCGATCCCTTGTTGTCCGAGTATGATGGTTTTCCAAGTGTAGTGTCCTGTTGGTGGGTCCGTAGATGACTGTGGAGCCCTATTCTTGATCCGCATGTTCTTCCACAGTGAGGACATGTGGTCCCAGTCAGGGTTGGCTTGATGCGTCTCCCTCTTGGCATGTTTCTCCATTTTGCCCTCGGTTCGTGCCTCTTCAAATTCCACAACACTGCTGGTCACAGCTGACTCCAGTTAGAGCTCTCAAGGGTCAGGGCTTCCCAGTTCTCGTGTTTATGCCACAGTTTTTAAGGTTAGTTTCAAGCCCATTTTTAAATCACTTTTCCTGTCCACCAACATTCTGTTTTTGAGAACACAGAAATGTAGGACCACTCTAACAACGACCATGTCAGACTACACAGAGAAACCCTTGAAATCTACAAGCATGTGGAGAATTTCAACAGAAAGGAGGAAACGATGAAAATGAATGAAATCTGGCTATCAGTATTTAAAAACAGTCCAGTAAAGTAAAGAAAGAACAACACTCAAAAAGAAGGGGAATTCCAGATAAGAATCAATCACGGCCAGCTAACACCTCCCAACAAAGAATTCCCCCAAGCAGCAACCAGCCTGGCCTTGAAACTGCTATTAAATGCTAATCAAGGTGGCAAATTGCAATTCACACATGCCTCAAGCAGACAAGAGTTCTTCCTCCCACCCTGGGCATTCCACAGATATATAAACCTCACTTACTTTCCAACAGACCTCTTAACCTCTGAGGATGCCTGCCAAATATGTGGGTGAACCATCAGGAGAGAATGCTTCTGGACAGCCCAAAAAACTCACGGCAACCCAGTGATTCCGGCCATGAAAACCTTCGACAACACATTCTGTTTTCCATTCTTGAGTTGTGCAAATGTCCCTCTGTGCCTATCTAATCAGAAGCACCAATTCTAATACAGCTTTGAGAGCCTCATCCTCAGCAAGAAATACTATGGTGGGAAACTTGAAATCTACAGAGCAGCTATAAAGACACTGGACTAATGCAATGACAACCATTTCGAGGTCAGAAGAGGCCATGTTTTGGCGGTAGCAAATAAGACTCTCAACAAAAGATTGCCCCAGGCACCAACAAGCCACACCAAACAACTGCCAGGCCATCAAATGCTAATCAGGTGGTCAGTTGAAACATTCACACCTAGCTCCAGCAGACAAGAGTTCTTTGTCCCCCCCTGGTCATTCCACAGATATATAAACCCTTTCCTAGTTCCAACAGACCTCACTACCTCTGAGGATGCTTGCCATCGATGCAGGCGAAACGTCAGGAGAGAATGCCTCTAGAACATGGCCATATAGCCCGAAAAAACCTACAACAACCCAAATAAGACTTCTTTTGCATGCAAGAAGACCCCAGGTTTGATTCCAATTTAATCTCATATAGATTCCAATTTAATCTCATATATTGAAAGAGTCTTGTCCTAAGAGAGCCATTGTAGCAGAATAGAGTATGGGCCCTTCTGCACAGCCATATGACCCAGAATATCAAGGCAGCATAACCCATACTATCTGCTTTGAAATGGAATATCTGAGTCCACACTGACATGTATCGCAGTTCAAAGCAGATAATGTGGGATTTTACTCAATTGTGTGGAAGAACCCTATATCATCCTGACCTGGGTGAAGCAATAAGCAAAGTTGGTACAAGGTTGCTACACATGGAGAGTCATATAATCATTGTAAGGCATATATGTACGATCCCCTGCTCCATCAGAACCATGGAAGTGAAGATTCGCACAGTATTGCATTCTTACAAGGACAACTGCAGAAAATCGCAGCATTCATGTCTTGTGGAGATAATTATTAACATAATAATTTTGAACCACAACAAGAAATACCTCTAAATGATTTTGTATTACATTTTTCAGATATGATTCCCTCTTCTTTATTTCCCATTATAGTAGCTGGATATCCTGTTGTTCTGCCCCATTAACAGGCCCTTCCCTTGAATTACAAGGAATCTTCCCTGTCAAGAATACAGTGTTTTGGGTGACTTGGCACATGGAGAATCTAAGCTAAATGTCTTGTCAGTTAGTACAGTGCAGTCTGTTTTTCATATAAAATAAAGTGGATTTGTATCAGAACCTGTCATTCTCAAACTTTGAGTCCGTGTTGTGTTTCACGGGTCAGAAAGCATCATGTGTTGGCAGTCTTCTGCCTCTGCTCCTTTCATCCTAAAGAGATGGATTGATGTGTTCTAGATTCCTTTGGGTTTTATATAGATTAGACAAGCTCAGGAGCATAGGAAAACGGGTTTAATATTTTAAGTTTAATATTATTGAACTAGTCTTTTTTTAAAATAATAATAATATGGAAGACGCCTATCCACAGTTGGTGGGTTTTTCTTCTCTGCAGTTGGTGAGAATGCGCTTTTCCTGTCACTTTATGGATTTAAGTCATTATGCTGATTTCAGGCAATTAGGACATAAAAGTAAAAAAAGGTAATGGTTTTCCCCTGACATTAAATCCAGTCGTGTACGACTGGGGGGTGG